GTGTCTGGGATCGACTTGGTTGATCAATTGAATGAAGTTGATGTGACATTTGGAAAGCATCCAGAAACAATTAAAAGAAACAAAAGATGTAAAGGGGCTGATACACCTTGGAAGAAGAAAAGTATTTTTTTCCGACTTCCATATTGGAAGCATATCTTGATTAGGCATCATCTGGATGTTATGCATGTTGAAAAAAATGTTTCTGAAAACATCCTTGGAACACTTTTGGGGATTGAAGGAAAGAATAAAGATTCCCTGCAGTCACGTATGGACTTAAAGCATCTGAACATAAGGCATAATTTACACCCTATTGAAAAAGATGGCAAGACATATCTACCTGCTGCACCTTTTACTCTAAGCAAGAAAGAGAAGGAAGATTTTGTTAATGTTTTAGCCTCTGTCAAAGTACCAGATGGGTATGCCTCAAACATCAAACGACGAATTGTGGATGGTAAGATTTATGGTTTGAAAAGTCATGACCATCACGTTATAATGTAACAACTATTGCCATTGGTTGCAAGGAAGATGAAAAATAAGAAATTGGGTGCTGTTCTGATTGAGTTGAGCTCTTTTTTCAAAGAATTGTGCTCTAAAGTTGCTACTGCATCTGAATTTAAGATCTTGCAAGAGCGTGTTGTTGTTACACTATGTAAATTAGAGCTCATTTTCCCGCCTTCGTTCTTCGACATAATGGTGCATTTAGTTGTCCATCTGGCATATGAAGCCATGATCACAGGTCCAGTGATCTATCACTGGATGTATCCAGTAGAGAGGTTAGGTGCTTGCCATATGGAACTATTCTATACTTTTATTATTATATCGATATGTTACTTTTATTTCAAGTTCTAAATTGCAGAGATTTGAGGACGTATTGTAAGAGTACATCCCACATCGGAAATCTAAGAGTAAAATAATCGGTATATAAGCTCTAGAGTTGAACTAACTAATCGATTGGATTCAATCTTTTAAAGTGGTTCAACCCAAGTGTCTTATTACCGAATCCAGTTATCCATATCCCATCCCAAATTCTATCATGGTATCGGAGCCAGTTTTATCCCACCTCGTTTGTCAAGGTGTCCGTCTAGACGTTCATTCCTAGCGGCTCGTTTGTCTTTAGCCCAGTTGTCCGTATGGAGGTTGTACCCAACGACCTGTGGCCTGTTTAACACGATTGCTCGTCTGGAAGTCCATACCCAGCGGCTCGTGGTCCTTAAGGTGTTGGCGCTCATAAAAAAAAAGTCAAGGGAATGAGAGTTCATTTGCAAGTGGTCAACCGGTTAGATTCAAAATGGCCCGGTTGTCCACTTGAGGGGGAGTGTAAGAGTACATCCCACATCGGAAATCTAAGAGTAAAATAATCGGTATATAAGCTCTAGAGTTGAACTAACTAATCGATTGGATTCAATCTTTTAAAGTGGTTCAACCCAAGTGTCTTATTACCGAATCCAGTTATCCATATCCCATCCTAAATTCTATCANGAATGGGAGTTCATTTGCAAGTGGTCAACCGGTTAGATTCAAAATGGCCCGGTTGTCCACTTGAGGGGGAGTGTAAGAGTACATCCCACATCGGAAATCTAAGAGTAAAATAATCGGTATATAAGCTCTAGAGTTGAACTAACTAATCGATTGGATTCAATCTTTTAAAGTGGTTCAACCCAAGTGTCTTATTACCGAATCCAGTTATCCATATCCCATCCTAAATTCTATCACGTATAAATGTTTTGTTCGCAATAAATCTCGTCCTGAGGGGTCAATAGCAGAAGGCTATATTGCAAACGAGTGTTTGACTTTTTGTGCACGGTACCTGCATGATACTGAAACAAGGGAGAATAGGACTTCTAGGAACAATGATGATGGCGGTGAAGTTAAGTTTTGTCTCTCTGTGTTTTCTATAGCATGGAAGTCTTTATCCAAAATGGAAGAGATTAGACCTAACCATGTATTCATTGAGCAGGCACACAATTATGTGTTATTTAACTGCGAGGAAGTTAAAGTTTATGAGCAGTAAGTATAACTTTATATTATTTTTATAGTCCATAGAAATTGATGTATCTTAATTATCAAGAAGTGTGGAATGGATAAGTAACACTTTTAATTATCATCGTGTGGCTCTTTAGGGATCACTACTCCATTGTTGCTATGGAATATCAAGGTGTCAAGAATAATGTTGATAACATTCATAGGAAAAGATTTTCAAATTGGTTTTCTTGTAATGTAAGTAATAATACATATAGTACAATTGTATATATGCTTTATACCCATTTTCTTAGACTATTTTAGTGTTCAGGTTTCTAGGCATCTTCCCTTAGATCCATGCTTATCGGAGGACTTGAAGTGCTTGAATGCTTTTCCAAGTGCTAATGTTAGAAAAATGTCCAAGATTACATGTAATGGGTACAAATGGCGAATTAAAGCTATTGACAATAGAAGCGTGACACAAAACTCAGGCGTTTTAGTTAATTCTGTCACAAGTTCTGGGGACATTACGTGGTTTGGCATTCTTACTGGAATATTTGAGTTAGCATATCCATTGGGGAGAAGTGTGATTTTGTTTGAATGTCATTGGATGGATCCGACAAAAGGCGTGAAAAAAGATGTGCATGGCCTTACACTAGTTAATCTTAAAGCTCGTTGCAAGACTAATGAGTCGTTTATCCTTGCATCTCAAGCAATACAAGTATTTTATACCCCAGAGTCTAAGGAGAAGAATTGGCATTTAGCGATTGCAACAAAACCTAGAGATCTATATGAAGTTGATGGTGACAACATACTCGAAGTGGATCTCATGCAATCTACTCAATCAAATTCGCTAGATGGAGATGATTTTACTAATGTCAGAGATGACATAATAGGAGTTTCAGTAGACATGCCAGTAATTGATGCATCTGGAGCGGATAATGATGATTCAAGAGAGAACATTCATAGTAGTGAAAGTGACACTGAAGATGATACATTATATGATTACGATGAGTAGTAGTAGCCGTCTATATTATGTTTAGGTTCTTGTTTTTAAATTATTGACATATTTCAGGCCTATATTATTTAAAAAATTCTATTTTGACACTGTTTTCTGCATGTTTTCTTGTTAATTTGAGTATCTAATTGGTGATATAAGTTGCAAAAAGGTTGATTTGTTCATATTTTTATGAGTACAACATGCATGAATTTTTTATGTATGAATTCTGTGCAGATTTTGGAGCATTTAAAAGCTAAATATGCAAAAAAAAACTGATTTGTACTTGCTGATTTTTCTGAAATCTGCACTACTCATACTGATTTTTTGACCTTTAGAGTGCTTTGTTGCCTGAAGTATGAAATATTATTGATATATCTTTCTTAGGGACAACATTTATAAGCATATCATGATGTTTTTATGCTTAAAGTGCTGATTTTAAGAAAAATCTGATCTTAATAAGTGTCATTTAAAAAAATCTGCAATTTTTTTTGATATTCAAGCTGATTTTTGTGTTTCCTAGATGCTTATGTGCTTAAATTTTCTTCATATATTGAATTCTTGAATCTCATTGTTTGTTCATTTCATGTCTCTATTAAAAAAATAATGTTTATAATTGTATTAGACTATGAAAGGTACAGGAAAAACTGGCATGAAGAACCAAAATAAGCAAGCGATTACAAGCAGTCAGCTAATTGTAAGATACAATTATACATTTTGATTAATTTATGACATATATTATGAATTTAAAGACAAATTATGTGTATTACAGGGTTATTTAAATAGGGCAAAAAGTGGTCTTGACAATTCAAAGAAGGATTGTAGTTCTCTACTTCAACAAACATCACTCTGTCGTTCTTTATTCTCCGAGAAGACCACACCAAATCTTACAAACCCATGTATTCAAATTAAGTTAAAATATTTGATCTTATCATATAATTTAATAGTCTATGTAGGTTTTTGTTAAGTTATAGAAGTCAATGTAGGTTTTTCTAAGTATACGCGAAATGATGAAGAAATGGCCCTTAATAGGTGGGCGTCGTTACTTGGCAAAATGGGTGAGTCTTGAGCAGAGACGTTTTATTCATTTATGGTCTAAAAAAAGTATGTATAATAACAAAATACTTTTCAATGTAATTCATTCTTAATGATATTTATATAGGTGAAAGCATTGGAAAAAAGAACCCACATAGTGGAAATGAGTTGACTCAACAAAATGAAGGACATCACTGTTGGCGGCCAAAAGAACACTTGGACATCTTGACGAAGAAGTGATGTTGTGCTAACGTGCGAAGTGTCGAATCCAGATGGGCAACATGATCCTCCAAGGTCGCACTATAAACCAAAATATCATCAAAGAATACAATCACGAACTTGCGTAGGAAAGAAGCAAAAATGTGATTCATGGCGGCTTGGAAAGTTGAGGGGGCATTGGTTAAGCCGAACGGCATAACAAGGAATTCAAAGTGGCCATCATGAGTCCGGAAGGCTGTTTTGAAGACATCCGCCGTGTGCATGCGAATTTGGTGGTAGCCGGAACGTAAGTCTAATTTAGTAAAGAAGCGTGCCTGCCCCAATTCATCGAATAGCTCATCGGCCATAGGAATGGGGAACTTATCCGCCACAGTGGCGGCATTCAGGGCGCGGTAATCCATGCAGAAACGAAAGGACCCATCCTTCTTTTTTACCAAGAGAACCGGGGAAGAAAATGGGCTGCAGCTATGCTGAATAATACCCTGGCTCAACATTTCTTGCACCTGTTTCTCAATTTCCGCCTTCTGAAAGTATGGATAACGATATGGCCTAACATTGATAGGTTTTGTCCCGGGGAGAAGATGGATCCGGTGGTCCCAAGGGCGTGCCGGAGGAGAACCAGTAGGTATGGCAAAAACGGCCTGGTGTCGTTCCAAAACAGCCCGTAGTACGGCTGGCAGATCCTCGTGCAAAGCGGCATCAGTAGCATGTATGGTCGAGGCTTCGGAGTCCAACAGAGTCAGTTGGTACCCATCTGTAATTGCATCTGCGCCGAATAGGGCTTGTAATCCATGATAAGAAACCTGTCTGCTGTTGGGGGTATCCCCCTGAAGAGTCACTGAACGGCCGTTCAAAACAAATTCCATAGTTAAGGCGGCGTAATCATGGGAGATCTTTCCCAAACTTTGCAGCCACTGTACGCCAAGCACGACATCGGGGCCATGAATATCAAGCACAAATAAATCAACAACAAGGGAGAGGTCTTGTAACGTCAGCGGAACGGCCACACAATAGTGGGTGCATGAAGGGAGGCGCCATTGCCCACATACACTTGAAACGGCGGTGTGGAACGCATGGATAACCGCAACTTCTCCACAATTGCCGGGCGGATAAAATTATGCGTACTCCCGCCGTCGATCAAAATCTGCACCGGATGGTCCTGAATTTTCCCCTGCAGTTTCAAGGCACGCGGACTGGGGCACCCGGTTAGACTATTGATGCTAGAAATATCCCCTGTAATCAATGGAAGAGCCTCGTCCTCTGGAAGCTCGGTTGCGGCCGACGGATCTGCTTCCTCCTCACCGATGAGGGCCATGAAACGGTTGGGACATTTGTGGCCCGGAACATATTTTTCATCACAAGTCCAACACAAACCTTTGGCCGTGCGTTCATCCTGCGCAGCATTATTGAATCTCCGGATAGGCAAGGACGTGGAGGAACCAGCAGAACGAGCGGTCGTAGCCCCACTGGCAGGAAGTACCGTGGAAGAGCCCTGGGTTTGGGCAGGTGGGTTGGTACTGGCAGGCGCTGTGGTCGACTGCCATGGGCGACGGGCCGATGTGGATATGGTGGAAACCATGTCGGAGTGATTTGCTGCAAGTTCTCTGGCGAGGGCAAAAGCCTGGCCCAACGTATAAGGTCGGCGGAGAAGAACCTCGCGGCGAATGGGAGCCTTCAACCCGGCAGTAAAAACGGAAATCAACGTGGCTTCCGGAACCCCTGTAATCTTGTTCAAAAGCCGCTCAAATTCTGCCTGATAATCCAAAATGGACGTACGTTGTTGTAACTTGCATAAAAGGCCCATGTAATCTTCATAATGCGTCGGATCAAAACGTTGCTTAACGGCTTCAAGAAAACCCCTCCAAGATGTAATAAGGTGATTATTATGTTGGTAAAGAAACCAATCACACGCTGGATTCTCGAATAGCAAGCCAACCAGCCGTAGACGGAGGTCCTTGGGGGTCCGAAAGTAATCAAAGTAGGACTGCACTTTGTAAACCCAACCTGCGGGATCCTGGCCATTAAATTTGGGTGCATCAAAACGGACTTTCGGCATACCTGGTTCGTGGGTGTCATCAAGGCCCGGAAATCCAGGCGGAATAAGGGGAGGCCGGCGACCTCCTGTCGGCGTGTTTCCCAAGATGCCACGGTTATGGGGAGTGGTAGGCGGTCGTGCGTCCAATATGGTTGCAAAGCCGTGATCAACACGCTGCGCCAAGGCGAGATGCTCCTGCCGAGTTGTGCGAATTTCCAAAGCCAAGTTTTGGATAGCACTGAGCAAATCATCAGTAGAGGGCGAGATGTTGGGTGTCACGGACGACGAGGGAATTTCGTCCGCCATGTTGAGTCCAGAAAAACGAGAGCGCCAATAATACAAGGGAAGCAGGGGGAGAGTTTGGTCGTACAGAGAAGGAGGAGAAGGCTACACGGCAGAGAAAGGAGTGAAGAAAGGTGGAGAGAATTAGGGTTTACTTTTCCTTGATAATCCATATGATATGGGAACATCTCTTTATATAGAGTTAGAGAAGTCCAAAAACCCTAATTAATCTATGTTGTCTAACCTGACGGTTCAAGAAAAGCGACGAGGTAAAGAACCGTAAAGAAACCCTCGAAGGAGTGTTATAATTCCACTTGCCTAGGAAAATCTAAAAATACAACAATAATTTGAGATAAAGTAGTGAATTAAACAAAGTCTTTAAAACGGGCCGGTGGTTTAACCGTCCGCCCCGAACGTCTAAGATTGTGCTCCATTGTAATGCTATTGGACCGGTCCGCTTCCCCATGCTCCGGAGACTCCTTCGTAATAGAGGCCGTATCATTATACTACCTTTCTTATTCTTTAAATTTTTTTATAAATCTTAATGGCTAAGGTTTGGGTAGATAATCATGAGATGTATTAAGTGAAATTTGCACTAAATAGGACTAAAACATAATGACTTTCCTAATGTAGGACTTAAACTTTTTTATTCTCTAAATTAGACTTAATAATGACCTTGTGGAATGAATAATGTCTAGTAATGATGGACATTTAGTTGAATAATGACTATTTGATAATGACCAAAGGTCCTACATTGGGAAATAAAAACATATGGTCCTATATTGGAAAGTTATTATGTTTTAATCCTATTTAGGTAAATTTCTCACTCAAGCTCTTGCGTGGTCATGTATGAGGTACTTACTAAGCAATCCTACCCTTAGGCTATAGTGGGCTAAGCTAAGAGCTATATCCAACTATTATATTTTATGACTTATTATTACTATTTTTCTTTATTATTATTATTATTATTCCCTAATTCAATCTAATCATTAATTAAATTCTAATATATATATATATATATATATATATATATATTTAGGCGTTACATATCTACATGGGCGGATCCATGTTAGAAGGAATGGGGGCACTTGCCCCCAGTGAATTTAAGAAAAACATTTATTAATACATTAACTATCCTTATTTTTTTAAAGAAATAAAAGTGACACCCCCCATAAAAAGTTGGCTGCCCCCAATACTTTCAATCCTTCCTGGCCACTTCCGTAAATGCAAAAAAAAATCAAAAAACAAAAAAATTGTACTGTTATTTCATATGTTACATTACTATGATATAACTTTGTAATATATTATCCTTGTTTACTTGTCAAAAAAAAATTCTCTATGTATTGGTACACCAAATTGTACCCTACTTACACCACATATTTTTATTTATTACGGAGTATCATTTTTATCTACACCAAGAAATTTAGTACTTCCTCCATCTCACAAAAAAATTCTCTGTGAAAAAAGTACATTTTAAAAATGTATTATTCTAGTACTATGTGTTATTATCTAATTTGATCTAATGTTATTTTATAATATGGTAGAATATGTATAGAGTATGTAGAGGGAGTAGATTATGCTGAGTTTGAGACAATAAGATTATGTATTTGGCTTTTGTGGAAATAATACAACCGCACATCTGTTCAAAAAAATAGGGTATGATGTTTTATATAAAGATTAGAAAATAATATCAAAGATACATTTTTAAAGTCCATTTTTTCAAACAAGAAATGAATTTGTGGGACAAATGGAGAGTAAGTTTTTCTTCAAGCTCGTCCCTAGTTGTTTGAATTTCTGGATCCGCCACTGCATATCTACCCTCATGTTTCCAAAATTGCTTTGAACAAAGCCTGTAGGAACCTCCCGGAGGGCTACGTTCTCGAATACGACGAGAATTGGCCCAACATATTTGAGCCCCACCGGGGGAATAGGATAGGTTTCCATATTACTTCTCTAGAGGGTGGCATCATTTTTCCTCTTCGCCACCTCTTGGTAGAGGTGTGTCACTGCTTCAGGATTCTTCCTAGGCAGATCACACCAAATGCCCACCATCTTCTCAATGCCTTTGCCAATATCTGCACGCATCTTCATATCGATCCCTCTCTTTGTCTCTTTCTTTACATATTAGAAGTCCTTCTCGGGCAACCGGGCTGCGACGGTTTTGTTTACTTTAAGGGGCGAAACGATAATATGTTTATTGCTGGCCTTCCACAAAGTAACTGGTCGTGGAAGGAAACCAAAGAAACTAATAGTTTCTTTGGTTGTGTTTTTCGTAAACCCCATCCTCATATATCTTATGTTGCTGATAGTTGAGAAAAACAAAGAAACTGCAAACTGCCAGAAACCATTTCTAACCAGTAGTAAAGATAGCTTTTATTTTCCCGTCGCAGATCTGCGACGGACTCAGGTGTTCATCACAAAAAACAAGTTTTGCCAGATTTTTTTCTCCGTCGCAGCTCCATTGCTGAACAGCGACGAAAATGTAAGTGTGTTGTAGATTAACTGCCTGCGACGGTGCATCATACGTCGCAAGTTCATCGCAGATCCCGAATCTACTACGGCTTTTACGAAACTGCGATGGAAATTTTCCGTGACAGATCCCACAGATTCTTGTAGTGAAAAATGATCTATGAACCTTAGGGAATGTTTTTATATACTTTAATTGAAGTTTGGTAAGTAAAAATGACATTTCCGTAAGTTGGCTGGAGGAAGAAAATGATGAATAATCGGTTATTAACTTAAAAATCGATTATTCGTCGTTTTGTAGATTTTTGAACACAGCAGCCCAACAATCGATTGTCAAATTCTGACAATCAATTATCAGCCTTCTCTGAAAATGAACTAAAGGTAGATAATCGATTATCAGAAGGTGATAATCGATTATTAGCCTATTCTGAAAGCTAGATAATCAATTATCGCATTCTGATAATCGATTATCTCCCTACTTTGCTGAAGAAAATGAAGTCAGCAACTACAAATCGATTTTCCTATAATATATTAATCAATTATTGTTCAAAATACATGATTTTTGAACTATGGAATCCTATTTTTGATTCTCATAGATTATGATTAATATAAAGATGATCTCTTGGAATAAAAATGATGTTTTGACAACTAAGAGGACTTTACGTGATGCATGACAGTAAGCTAGGGTGTTAACACTTAATGCTAGGCCGCTAATTGTTATTGAATACTATGATAATTATTTTTATGGATGACTATGATGTATTGATGATGAACCTATTGATTAAAATGATTATTGTGAATGATTTAAACTATGATTTGAAATTAGACCTGACAAAAAGTGACTTGACCTGTTTTTGACCCGAAACCTAACTTGAAAACAATGGGTTTTGAACAAAGGTTTTGATAACCGAACCCAAAGTTGACCGAACCCGAAATGACCCGCTAAAAATGGGTCAAACCCGACCAAACCGAACCCCACCTGACCGACCCGCTAATGTAAGAATTTTTCAAAGTTATACACTTTTTACTCGTTTTTAGTGTATAAATTTATATTTTCAGAAAATTTTTTAATGATATTACATAATTATCTTACTTTTTTTCCAAAACTTAAGCATTTTTAAATTCCTTATATTGATTTATATATCTAAAAACTACTTTATAGTTTAAAATAAAATGATTTTATAAATTTAATACATTTTTTTTAATATTTTAAATTTATTTAATAGAAAATGTAAGTGTTAATTTGAATTTAAAAATTTAAAAAACCAAAGTTATAACCCGTTGGGTTGACCCGAACTCGATGACACTGGGTCATGAATATACAGTTTTCAACTCGAACCCGAATTGACCCGAGCCTGAAATAACCCAAATTTGAAGTGACCAAACCCGAACCCGACCTAACTCACCGATTTGCTAGCTTTATTTGAAATGAATACATCGATGATTATGAAATGATTTGGATTGATGAATTGTATTGTTAAGGATATCTAGAACAATCTATGATAAAGAAATCACCCTACGTAGCACTCTAACTCATATAATACTACGCATTTAGCACTGCTTATTGTTTATTTACCAAATTAGCTATTTATGTTGTCAATCTCTTCCAATCATACCCTTTATGTTATCAATCCCTTTTATCCATCCCACTATCAATTATTTCAATTTCCCTTTCAACTCCTATATCAAATTCGGTCTCACATAATGTATACTTTGTGCATAGTGGCATAATACTCTTTTTTATCAAATTTTTTCGTCAATCAATTAAATGTAGTTTTGAATAAATATATATAATAAAAATATGATATATCAAAATTATATCATAAAAATATGCCAATTATAAATACTTCTTTTATCCCAAAATAGGGCTCTTTTTCGATTTACGATGTTTGATTGAAATTATTTTCAAATCAATATTAGTAAAAATTATTGTATAATTAAAAAATAGGAATTATATATTAAAAAAACTACATAAAATTTTTTATAAACAAGTGGTGACAATGTGACTTACATATAAAACTACCAATTTATAAATTATTATTTGATTTTCATATTGTGCAAATAGCTTGTGGTTGATTTTATGACAATAGAGTTTTACCATGAAAGAGATTGTTATGAAATGTGTTACTCAATATGGTGACTATAAATATATGGGCAGTACAGATTGATCATGTTATGCAAACACTTTTTGGCAGTGAATATGTCTTCTATATATAATGTGGCAGACAAGAGTGAAAGTATGATAGTGTATAAAAGTTAGCGACCTAAACAAATTTTTATGTACTTTATTAACTTCCATTAATAATATGGCAGTGAAATTAGACATACATATGAAACTGCCAATGTTATG